GTCCAGCACTCCCTCAACCATTTGGCAGGGCAGACTTAATAAACCTGACTTCCCAGCATGTAAGGCCTAGCGGAAAAGTCTTAACTCACTACCAAGTGGAGGAATCCTATAGTTTGGATCTCTATGCTTGAATTCTGATCTCCCTAACACACTTGCCCTTTGGTGGGCAAAACCAGCTTGGTGGACCAATTATATGTCAGTCTCCTTTTCTTCCCAGCTTATATAAATATTATTTCATGGTTGTCTTCCATTTATAATAAGTGCTACTGACTTTTCTTTCTGGGAAGTAATACAAGTCTTTCATGTACATAATTTTAGTTCAATTAAAAATATATATGCTGGGCTGGGGATTTAGCTTAGTGGTTTGGCACCTGCCTAGCAAGCACAAGGACCCGAGTTCGATCCCTGATACAAAAAAAAAAAAAAAATGTATGTGTAGTGACACAGTGTAAACACTGTGACATTTATGGAATATCTGAAGTTTGAAATGAGAGATTGTCCACGAAGGGCTAAGATGATCTTTTCATATGTGTGGTATCCAAAGTCTGAACACAGGCTTCAGGAGCCACACGGTTCCATTACTAATGGCGAAGGTTTTCCTATCTCACGTAAACAGACAAGTGACCTGCCCACTTTAATGAAATTTCGGAAAAATCATTTCAAACTTACTTCCAATTCGAAGGTGTTTAGGGATCAATGAAACAAACCAGAAATACTTGTTTTCTTTCCCCAGAACAAGTGTAATGAATGTCAAGGGCTGACGCTCATTTAGTTATGATCACATAAAATTGCTAACTTTTGTTTCATTAATTGTAGTGCTGGTAGTTGTTTTTGTTATTTGTTTTCTGGTACCGGATATTGAACTCAGGCCCTTGCGCTTGTGAGGCAGGCTGCAGAACCACTGAGCTAAATCCCTGGCCCTGTTGTTGTTTTTTTGGTATCAGGGATTGAACTTGGGTCCTTGTGCTTGCAGGGCAGGTGGCAGAAAAACACTAAGCCAAATCTCCTATCCTGCTGGCAGCTGATTTGCACAATACTGCACATTAAACTGCAGGCTGCTGACAACAGATCAAAGGAAAGGGAATTTTAAGAGCCGGCTAAGTTAATCATTGCTTTTAAAGAACATGAGCATGAGTAACCACCAGGGGCTTTTGCAGACAGACCCTCACCTAGGACCTTCTAGAAGGGATGTTTGGAGGCTGTTTGATTTTGAGATGTTAACTTATTTGTGATACTGACATTTTAGATTATGTGCATAGCCCTATGATGATGAATAGCATTAGCAAAATTTATAAAGCCTAAAATTATAATTATTCAAAAACCTGATTTTTGGTGGCAACAGTAAACTTTATCCATGAGAACATTGCAATTAGCTCCATGCTTCCACCCAGAAAAACTCAATCCTAAAATCCAAATTGTACAACCTAAAAGGTTTTCAGTGTCTGCGACTGAAGTGTTCATCAAGGTTTTGCAGTTGGCAGTGTAAAAAGTTCTACTTTAGAAAATATCTGACAGTGAAGGGCACAGAGACGAGGGTGATGCTGACCCTCACTGGTGCAAACAGCTTGTGCTGGGCGTAGGCCACCGCAAAGGTACCTGTGCCTGCTGCCATTTTTGACTGCACCAGTGACTCTTTAAATCCAGGATTTAAGCAGGATTGCAGACAGGTCTACGCCACTTGAAACAACTATGTAAAACAGGCCCAGGGAGAGTAATGAGATCCCAATGTGCAGGGACACACCGATGGCCCCACATTCCTGGAAAATCTTTCTCAGCTGCTGTGACTTGCCTTGGTTGCTGTGTGCGGCCAGCATCACTGCCTGCTGTCTCAGAGATTTTGCTGGGGTCCTGGTGGCCACGGAGGTCCCTGCGAGCCCTGTGGAGCAGCCGGGCGTCTGGGCCAAGACGGAACTGTGCCAGGGCAAGGGCCAGGGCCAGGGCCAGGTGAGGCAGGGGCAGGGGACAGGGGTGGTGGTGCCCAGGGCCCCAGTGGCGGGAGGATGACCCAGGTGCCCACCCTGCCAGTGGGGCCCAGCAGTGCTAGCAGCCTGGCCATGGTGCAGTGCGAGCAGTTACTGCCCGGTTGCTGCCTGTACAGTGGACCTAGACCTGTAACTTTCACCATGCAATAAACTAAAATCAAAATGGATCAGAGATCTAAATATTAGAACAGAAACCCACAATCTGCTGAAGATAGAATATGTAGAACTCTTGAAGACATTGGTGTAGGCAAAAACTTTATGAACAATCACATCCCTGGTACAAAAAAAAAAAAAAAAAAAAAAAAAACTTTAAATGATCAAAACCTTGATTGCACAGGAAATATCACAAAATCAACAGTTGGGATCTCATCTTATTAAAAAGCTTTTGCCCAGCAAAAGAAACCACCAACAGAATGAAGAGACAACCCAGCGGGGAAAAACATTTTTGTCAGATGTGCGTGGTGGCGCACGTCTGTAATTCCAGCACTCAGGAGGATCGCTGTGAGTTTGAGACCAGCCTGGGCTACACAGTGAGTTCCAGGGCAATCTCAACTACATAGTGACACCATGTCTCAAACAACAACAACAACAACAACAACAACAACAACAACAACAACAACAAAATCAACCAACAACAAATGCTGACAGGGCTGTGGGGAAAAAGGAACCCTTTCCCACTCTTGGGAGTGTAGGCTGGTGCAGCCACTGTGGAAATCAGTGTGGAGATTCTCCCAAATGCTATAACCACAGGTTCCATTTGACCCAGCTATTCCTTCTTGGTATCTTCCCCCAAATTCAAAGCATCACAGCACAGAGATATATGCACACCCATGTATATAGCAGCACAACTGGTAACAGCTAAATCTTAAAAACAGCCCAAATGCCCACCAACCCATGGATTTTTTTTTTATACAGTGGCGTTCCCAATGATGAATACAACTGTACTGTATACTTAAAAAGTACCGATAAACTCAATTTAAAAAATGAAGTACTACCTACCATAAAGGATAAGCTTGAGACATTTCCAGCTAAATAGATGGATCTTGAGACCATACTGTGAAGTGAGATAAAAAGGCACACACGTCTAAATACCACATTGTTTCTCTGCTGTGAGAACCAAATGTGGAAATAAGGACCAAAATGTGTTACAGATATTGGGAAAGGGGAAGAAAATGTTGAAATGAGAGGGAGAACGTGGGAAGGGGGAGAGGGAAAGGAAAGAAGGGACAAGAAAAAAAAGAATGAAAGAGTGGAAGGAAAGCTTTTGTAAATAAGGAGGGGAAGATGGGTAATAAATTTTTTGCTTTAAAAATAACCCCCATGGGCTGGGGATTTAGCTCAGTGTTTCTGCCACTTGCCTCACAAGCACAAGATCTCAAATACAAAAACAAAACAAAACAAAGCCAAAAAACAAAAAAAACCCACCCAAATATTTGAGGTAAAATTCACATTACATAAAATTAACATATAATTAAAACGTACAATAATGTGGCACTTAGTAAATATACAATGTTATACAACTCCCACCTTCATCATATTCCAAAATACTGTCCACACCCAAATGAAGACCATAAGTAGCCTTAGGCAGAGTCTCCCTAGTCTCCCCCTAGACTCTGGAAATTACCAGGAATATTAACTTTTAGGCTGTACTAAAAAATTTAAAAGCTATAAAACAGATATTTAAAAATACATTATTTTTGTTTTCTTTTTTAGACAAGGTCTCACTATATAGTTCAGGCTGGCCTTGAACACACTATGTAGTCCAGGTGAACCTTAAACTCTCAGCAATCCTCCTGTCTTGGTGTCCTAAGTAATGGGATTAGAGCCCCAGGTAAGAAAACATTTTAGTTTGACTGCACATTTTGATCTAGTCACATACAAAAAAGACCATAAGCACAGTTTTCTCAATAATTCAATAATCTGATTTTTATTAACTATTTTATGTACATCAATACCAAGTCTTAAAAATTATTAAAAACATATCAAGAATTTATTACACAGGGAACATACAAATACTCATTTATATTTTGCACATTAATAGTAAAAATAAGATATAATAGCTATAGCTACATAAAAATATGTACAAAGACAGACTTTGCTATTGTGCTTACACCATTATGTGTAGATACTACACAAAAAATAAGAATGTAGTTTTCAGAAAAATGTGACCAAAATCCCTTTTCTTTTTAAAATCTAAAAATAAAACTTGATAATACCAATCACAATTGACAGCCAAGTCTTGAAATAATTCATATTGGACAGATAAATTAAACATTATACTATCTATCTTTCTATTTATTTATTTTGCACTGCTGGGGCTAGAACCCATAGCCTAGGGAATGCAGATAAGCACTCTATCACTAAGCTGTACTCTCAGCCCCAACACTATGCTTGTGTGTGTGTGTGTACTGCAGACAGGTTCTCAATCTATAGTACAGACTGTCCTCAAACTCTTGATTCTCCTGCCTCAGCCTCTTTCGCGCTGGGATTACAGGCGTGTGCCACCACACCTGGCAACATTATGTATTTAAAAAAATAAGGTTTACAGTTAAAAATGTATACTCATGACATTTCAAAATTAATTAAGAATGGCTTATCCATGCCCTTCCAGATTTTGGAAACACTAAAAAAGTGAATGGTGAAGAGATGATTCTTTGAAAAGCTATACCGGAAAACATCTCGAGGGAGACCCAGTGGTCAAACCACAATGGGAAACTCATGATACACTAATAATACTCAGAACAAAGAGAGGAAGTAATATTTTAAGGTAGTTTTGAAAAAGGTTTCAAATATTCTCAGGGAATTTGTAAGAATGACTGATTTCATGATGACCTAAAAAGTGGTATATAACACACTGTTATGGTGCTACCTCACTAAGAACATTTAGTTTCTTTCTTTCTTTTTGGTTTTTTGAGACAGGGTCTCACTATGTAGGTGAGACTGACCTGGAACTCACTATGTAGCTCAGGCTGGTCTCAAACTCACAGCGATCCTCCTGCCTCAGCCTCCCAAGTGCGGGGATAACGGGCGCATGCCACTACGCCTGGCTGCAGTTTCTTTCTTTTTTGAGACAGGGTTTCACAATGTAGTTCAAGCTAGTCTTAAATTCAATGTGATACTCTTGCCTCAGCCTCCTGAGTGCTGGGATTACAAGAACATTTAGTTTCTAATAATGTTATCTGAATTTTATTCTATCGGCTTGAGAAGCAGCTTCCTATTCTGAGAACTGCCTGGTTTAATAAAACAATCATATATAATTAAGTTAATATCATGAAAAAAATGATAGTAGATTAGAAAAGAAGTACTCTTTCACTGGTTGTAACACCAAGCTAAGAGGCTCAGGGAGAGAAAGAATCAGGGGCAGTGCAGGGCTCAGTTACAAAGCTACTTAAGCTCAAGAAGAGAAAGAGCACAAGGGATCCAAAATGATAGTGATGTGGACTTACCACAGTGGGCCAGGCATGGACTGGTGCATCACCTTTGGCCCTGTACTGCAGGAACTAACCCCTAGCTTCAATATCAAATTGAAAGTACAAATACCTCCAAGCATACTTACTAAAATCAGATTACTTACCTTCATATTACAAAGCACAGAAGGAAAGATTTTTAACAGAGAGCTAAAAATGTTTCTCCTTAATTCATCTAAAAAAACCCAAGGAACAAACACTTAAAAATCCTATTACTATTAGTATTTATAAAGGCACTTAAAATACATCTGCTAACTATATTTTGAACAAATGCAAAAAAAAAAAAAAAAGCGCTTAATTCTGGTGCAATTGTTCATATAACCCAGTGATATTTTCCATCTATGGAGCAAACAGGTTTAAACGACAGAGCCCCAATTTTCTGCAGAACAACCTGAAAGTGCTTTTATCAGAAACAGGAATAATGTTAATGGTTTGCTCTTTCACTGACAACATCCTGTAGTCGTTTAAGTAAAACATCATCATTTTCTTGGCAGAGGCGTTTGGCAGGTGATTCTGCATCTCCAGTGATGGTTATTGCACGCTTCTTGGTTCTCTGATCACCTTGTCTTATCATGTTGTTGATATCTTTCAAACTCTGTGTAAAAATAAAGGACAGCATGAGTAAAATGGGGAAAAGATGGAAAAAGCAACGAAGAACTACGTTAACTGCATTTTCCCACCCCCATCTTCTATCCAAATATAAACAACGAGGTAAGGAAAAAATGGAAACCAAGTCTTTGTAAACAGGGGGTGTGGTGAAGGGGTTGAAGGGAGGACAGGGGAATGGGGAAAAATAAGAACCAGGATTCATCATGTAAAGGTACTAGATCCTAATGATGAATGTAACTATTGTATACCTGGAATGTACCAATAAACTTAATGAAAGAAAAAAACCCAAAAAACAAAAAATGAGGTAGAGATAATTTTGAACCTCGACCAGCCTAAAAAGGGTGGCTAGAACTAATCTTTTTTTGGGTGATTTTAAAAGATGGATTTAGGGCCGGGAATTTAGCTCAGTGGTTCCACCACCTGCCTGGCAAGTGCAAGGTCCCGAGTTCAATCTCCAGTACATTCAGGATTTTTTTTTCTTTTTTCTTTTTGTACCAGGGATTGAACTTGGGTCCTTGAGCTTGCAAGGCAGGCAGCAGAACCACTGAGCCAAACCCCCAGCCCAAAGAGACTGAAAATAATCCCTTTGATTATTATTATTATTTTTTGGTACCAGTGATCGAACTCAGGTCCTTGTGCTTGGAACCACTGAGCTAAATCCCCAGCCCTCAATGTCCAGTACAAAAAAAAAAAAAAATGCAGATTCAAGGTTAGCAGGACTGGTACGAGGCCTGTGATTCTGTATTTCTAACAAGTTCCTAGGTGAGACTGATGAACTGGTTAAAATAATCATACTGAGTAGCAAGGTTTCTGAGAAGTGGTCCCTAAAAGCTGTATATCACAGTCATCCAGGGATACTATTATATTGAGAGCCCCACATCTTCCTGTTAGCACTGTGATTCAGCAGGTCTGAGAAGCAGGTGTCTTAACAAACTGTGACTCATGGTTTTAGAAGCAACTGATCAACTCTTTGATCCAATGGAAGAATCTCTTCTACACATTCTAACAGGAAACTAATTTCTATGAGGAAGAAATACAGGTCTGCATCATAGTCAGCTTTCTTTGCCATGTATGTAAGAACACAATGGGCACCTGTGGAACTGAGCAGTGAACTAATGAGCTAGGGAACAGCCATTGCACTTGGGCAAATTCTTTCCATCCATACTGATTCTGGCTTAGAGACTTAACCAAACATACCTGCTTGACTCATGAGTAGAGAAAATGTGTCACAGCTAACAGTTCATATTTTATTAGTAACTTTACAAAAAAAGTAAGCAAGATTAATGATTATTAATTAATAATCTAAAATCCAATTTTTTTGTTAAGTTACTTAAAATCCAATTTTATAATGTTATTTGAAAATCTATATTAAAATCCAGCTTTTAACACATATATATATAAAAATTGTTTTGGAGTAAAGTCTATGCATCTTACCTTAGAAGGGCTGCCATTGAACTTGTAGAGCAGAGCACTCCTCGGCGTAAGGCCCGATCCATTCTTGTGTGGGGAAACGTAAATGGAGTGCTGCTGGGAAATGCGGCGCGGTGATCCTGGCTGTTGTTTAATATGTGGAAAAGGAGACAGTGGTGGAGCATCCATCTAAAATACCCCAAAAATCAGATTTTTAAGATTTTTAAAAATCCCACCATTTTTTTAAAATGGCACTTCCCACCTAGGAGTCAGTTATACTGTAAGAACTTATTTCTTATTTATGGTTGGAAAAAGCAAAGACTGGTCCATTACATGTTTTCAACAATTATTAACAGATAAGCTAGAATTTATCTTCTTGGATTTTATGTGGAAAGTCTGTAACTAGTAGTAAGAATTCCAGCAAGTCACCAGGAACATCAGGAACTTTGTATTCATGCTTCAATTCAAAGTAGCATGTAGATGAGTGGTACAATGGGAACATAATACGCAAGAGGCCATGTAGTCAATCTCCAGGGCCATAACAAAAGTGAAGGCAAAGAAAGTAGGAGCAAAGAACACTCAATGTTCTAACATTTTCTGTAAGAATTTCTCTATACACACATCATACACATAGAGACACACAGACACAGACACACACACACACACACACACACACACACACACACACACACAACAACAACAGGTTGGCTGGATGCAGCTTTCATTAAAGCTTTCCTTTTTATAGCTAAATTCTGGCCTCCTGGGAACTAACTTCAGTTTACTGGTAACAGTTTCTCAGGTCTGCTGCAACTTCCAAAACTAAGGTCTACATAAAAATTTCTGAAACAAGGACTCGAGTTCGATCCCTGGTACAAAAAAAAAAAAAAATTTTTTTTCTGAAGTATTACTTCTATTAATGATCTAGGGCTACTTGTTTCCTTTTTCTTTTTATTGAAAAGAACCCCATTTATCTCACAATACAATAAAAAAAGCAAAAACAACAGAAAAATATCCAAATTAGTTGTTGTAATATATATATACATTCCCATTTAGTCCTTCCCCATACACACACTCATATACATGTACATGTATATATATGTGTCTGTATATATAATTCCTAGCAATAAAATCATAGGATAAATAAAATTCCTATGATTTCCCATTTTTGTTGTATATGACTTAATCTCTAAGTTACTAGTTCCTCCTGGTTAATTTCTAGTATATATTCTCCTATGTAAAGCATCAGTTGTGTGTGTGTGTGTTTTTTTTGGTACCGGGGATCAAACTAGAGAACTTGTGCCTGTGAGGCAGGCAGTGGAACCACAGAGCTAAATCCCCAGTCTCAGCATCAGTTTTAAATACTGAAACATTTACCTAGAAAAATACATTCAAGATAATCAACTATGACTGTAGATACAATAAAGTAGTAAAATGTACCACATGGTCCTGATTCGATAAGTCATATTTCAATGCAAATGACTTCACTTTTCCTACATATATTGTATTGTAAAATTTGATAAGGTCGCCTCTTTCTTCTTTTACTGGTCCATTAGAACAGTCAGGTGTTTTTGTGGCCTCTTCCAAGTCTGTTAAAAAGAATTCAGTGTTGTGATAAGTGTACTTTAGTAAACAAGTAGGTGATTTAAATTGTAGTATAAAAAATCACAAACCCTTAACAAAAAACAATGCTGGATTTTTTTTTTTTTTTTTTTTGGTACTGGGGATGGAACTCGGGTCCTTGCACTTGCAAGGCAGGTGGCAGCACCACTGAGCTAAATCTCCAGCTCAATGCTGGATTATTTATAAATCAAATTGGAATTAGAGAAAAATAAGCATGTGAACAGAAGGTGGTGCTCTTTTCTTTAGGGAACACTTCAGCAAGCATGCTTTCCAACCAAAGCTTTGGGCTCTCTTTGGTGGCCCTTAAAGGGCTATAGTTCCTGGTTGGAGTTTAGCTAAACTCTACAGTGTGGGTGTCAATGACAAACTCTGACCTTCAGATAACAAAAGTGCCTGCAGATATTCTTATTGGCTCTTTGAAAAAGACTCATCAAGGAAGAAGCAATGAATTGCTTGTGTTTATCTTTCTGCAAATAACAGTGTGTGGCAGGTACCCTAAGAGTCTTATATATTCCTATCCACAACAGGAACCCTAGTACTCAATGTTTAGTTATTACTCTGACTTGGAAATGACAGCCTGCATAGGGTGCATTCCTATTTATTGGTGTCACTGGGATAGCTTCTGAATCTAAGCAGAGCTATACCCTACTCTTTTGTGGAAGAGTATTACAAACTCACTTTCAACATACTGGACTGCAAACATCGAGGACTAGGGTAGACACGTCTTTACCTTACAAAAACCAGCAAGCTCAAACATGGTAAATGTTCTAGGGAATCTCCCAAAATTCTCAGTGCTAATTTTTTGTTTTGTTTTGTTTTTTTGAGACAGGGTCTCACTATGTAGTTGAGACTGATCTGGAACTCACTATGCAGCCCAGGCTGGCTTTGAACTCACAGCAATCCTCCTGCCTCAGCCTCCCAAGTGCTGGGATTACAGGCGTGTGCCACCACAACCGGCTTCTCAGTCCTAATTTTGATGTCTTTTTTCCCCAGTGCCTCTTGCATCCTAGGCAAATGATCTATTGTGGAGCCATAACCCCCACTCTGGATCTTTTTTTTCACTCTTGCTATTTTTGAAAGATCTTGACAGAGGGGAATCAACGTTTTATACCGGGGATTGAACTCGGGTCTTTGAACTTCAAAGGCAGGTGCTGGAACCACTGAGCTAAGTCTCTGGCCTGTTGTTGTATTTTTGAGACATTGTCTCAGCCTCCAAAGTGCTGGAATTATAGGCATGTGCTACCTTGTTTGGCAAAATTACACACACACACATGGGGTGGTGAGTACTGAGAATTAAGTCCAGCACCTTTATACTGAACTATATAGCCTTAGTTCTTTTTATTTTTCACACTTTGAAACATTTTGCTAACTTGTCCAGACTGGACTTGAACTTGTAATCTTCCTGCCTCAGCTTTTCACAGTGCATATTCAGCGGTGTGCCACCATACCTGGCTTAAAATATACATATTTTTGACACAGGAGTCTTGCCATGTTTCCTGAACTCTTCTGCCTCAACCTCCTGAGTTGCTGGAATTATGGGAATCTGCCATCATTCCAAGATGGCTGAAGTATTTGAAATTATATCCATAACAGCACGAAAAGGATGAAAAATTCAACGTCTATGGGCTCTTCTCTGATGGATAATGCCTCCATTCTAAAAATTGAGAAATCCTATGTCTAACTTTTTTGACTAATGCAGCTTCCTTGCTTGATGATGGTTGTATGGTTAAGAGACTCCTGCATTTGGAATCTCAGCACATCTCAAGTAAATCTTTTATGTGAAGTGGTGGCTGGACAGCTGAGGCTCTGAGCTTATTACTCAGAACATACACTGTGTGCCCTGTTTTGTTGTTGGTTTGTTTTTTGGTGCTGGGCACTGAATCCAGAACCTTGTGCATATTAAGGCAAGCATTCTACCACTGTAGTACATCCCAAGTGTGCTTTAAAATAGTAATTATTTTATACACAAGTATAAATTTGTTGATAGAACCAGAGCTGTTCTTCCCAAAGTGGTGTTCTTTGGTGTGTACAAGTCCGCTAAGTCATGGCACTTAAGCTCTGGGAATTGGAACATGTTGTATCTGTATATAGAAATACCTGATGCTAGTCTCCATAACTTTAATTCCTGAGACCATTAACATTGGATACTATGCCTGTCCTGTGCATAACCACTGTGCATGTTACATAAGAAAGGCTTTTTTTTATTGCCTACTAATAAATTAGTTAATAAATGTATGTATAGCTAAATTTGATCTTAAACCTTTACGTTGTTCAGGGAGCAGATAACCCTGATTCATCTCAAACTTCCTTCATAGATACTTACATACGAAAAGGAAACTGTGATCCTATTACTGTACTTTTTTGCTTACTTGTGCTTTCTAAAACTTCATCGATTCCTATATTCCAGATACTTGCTATTAGCTTTTCCTACAGAAAACACAAAACAACCAAGAGATCTAGAATTTCCAAGTTAAACTCTGTTGTTTTGTAGGGCAGAAAACCCAAAATGCAGAAAGGAACCTTTTGTTTTTTGACCTTTTGGTATTTTGTCTAGTTTACCATCTTATGTACTTCTCAAGGCTTAGAAATAATATACTTATGCAAAAAGAATGTACTGTAGCCTATGTACACTTAAAAGAAGTCAGGTGTTAAAAGATTACTAAAGAATCTTTTTAGTGAGTGAAATCTTAAAAGTTAGATCCCAATACAAATTATAATGATCATGGATATTTGTGCAATTTAAAAAATTGCCTTTCAAGTGCTAGGTTTAATCCCTAGCACTGCCATTAAAATGAAAAAGGCCTCTGACACAGTGAATTTTTTCTAGGAATTTAGCCTAAGGATGTAGATCAAAGAATTGGGCTAGGGATTTAGCTCAGTGGTGCTGTGCCTGCCGGGCAAGCACAAGGTCCGGAGTTCAATTCTGGTCACTGGGTAGGGGGGAGAATAAAATACTACAGCAAAGTTCTGTACTACTGGAAACAACCTACATGTCCCACATTGTGATAATAACTAAACACAGTACATATACATACATGTACACATATACACATATTAAACACATGGGGATGGAGTGTAGCTCAGTGGTACAGTGCTTGCCTAGCATGGATGAAGTCCTGGGTTTTCCCCAACTACCATAAAAAGGAACTGAAGGAAAAAGAAATGAGCAAATGAGGCATAAGAATACTAATTATAAAAACAAACAAACGAAGAATAATAATTATTTGATTTTCCTTTTTTTGAAAAAAAATATTAGTATCTGAAGTTTTACCATGATGGTAGCAACAGGATCCAGTCTGACATGTGGTGGCAGAATCACCAATATCAGTGATGCAGAGACGTTTAAGAGCTTTTACTGATAACAGCCTGCTGCCACACACGTGCCGTAAGCTCACCACCACTGACCCATATACTTATGAATAGCACATTTAAAAAAATTGACTCCTCCCGAAGATCACTGATAGCTATCTAGTTTTCCCTGTGATACTTTTATATTTAATGTCTCTTATGTGCTTTATTAATCAGTATGAGTAGATAAGCTCTACAGAGAGAAGCAACTGCCTCGTTTTTATCTCAAACTTCTTTCTTCTTTTCTAAAACATATGTGAGCAAGGTGTGCTGGTCCATGACTGACATTCCAGCACTTGGGAGGTTGAGGCAAAAGGATTGCAAGTTTAAGTTCCCCCTGTGTGACCCTATCTCAAAATAAAAAGGGCTGAGGATGTAGCTCAGTATGAAGGCCCTGGGTTCAATTTCCAGTACTGAAAACAAAACAAAACAAAACAACTAAAAATCCCCACATGTGCATTGTCCAACCCACCCACTCCATGGTTCCATGCTTCCTCATACCCAGTGTGTTATGCATCATGCAATCAAGTCTATTGTGTATATCACGTTAAATTAGATCACTTACCACCATCTGTCATTTCAAAATCATCACTTATATCATTATTATATGTCACAATTTCTCTTGGAATACTTTTCAACAGAACGCTTCTATATACCTATAGGTCCCATGGCGGGAGGAAAAAAGGATTGCTAAGTCAAAGTTAAGCAAAATCAAAATAAGAGCAAAATCAAGCCAATTAAAAATGTGTACCATATGGATGCTAATCAAGGGTAAAATGTCATTAATTCTGGTAATTAGAATAAGGAATACTGAGAAGAATCTAAAATTTAAAACATGCCATTTAGTTTACTAAAAAGAATGACTGAAAAAGAAAAGGTCTAAAATTGATTACGGTGGCCAGGAGATGAACTTCAAGGGTAGAGGGCCTAAAAGAAATAGATGGGGGCAAAAAGGAGAAAAATGAAACAAATAAAACTGATGTGAGCCGGGCATGGTAGCGCACCTGTAATCCCAGCATTCGGGAGGCTGAGGCAGGAGGATCACTGTGAGTTCAAAACCAGCCTGGGCTACATAATGAGTTCCAGGTCAGTCTCAACTACATAGTGAGACCCTGTCTCAAAAAACAAGCAAATGGGCCAGGGATTTAGCTCAGTGGTTCCACTGTTTGCCTCACCAGTGCAAGGACCTCAGTTTAATCCTCCAAACAAAAACAAAAACAAAAACAAAAAACAAACAAATAAAAAGGTTCTAAGAACCTTGACTGATACCAGGTTTTGCCAAATAAGAGCAATTTCTCTCAAACTCATCCTCCCTTTTAATTCCTTACACAGAGCTGGGCGTGGTGGCACACACCTAAAATCCCAGCACTTGGGGAGGCTGAGGTAGGAGGATTGCTGTGTTTGAGGCCAGCCAAGCCACATAGTGAGTTCAAGGCCACGCTGAATTAAGGGAGAATATGTCTAAAAAAAAAAAAATCCTTATATAAGAATAATTTGGTTTCATTGGGCTGTCCCTAGCCCATTCCCATCTCTTTTTTGGTGACCACATGAAATTTTTTCCCCTCTCTGCCCCTGAACTCTTCTTACCTCCAAGGTAGATAGAAAAGCATGGTTTATTTTACTCCATCCTATAAGTTACTGGTATTGAGAAGATATTCAAGAAGTAGTAGCTTGACTCAGTTTTCACCCATACTAATGTTACCTTAATCATCTCTAGTGACAATCTGGACAGCTCTAGGCTCTGTTCCTGAGGGGTTTTCCTGAAGAGGCCCAGCAACTCTTAGCTTGTCACAAGATTTAGTAAGTGCCTATACTTGGTTTTTCAAATGTTTCTATATTGCTTATGATTGGTTGTATTTTGAGGATTAAGGAAAGAGGTCAATTTATTTTGGGGTTCTCTTAGAAGGTGGTCTGAATACTTGCCCTACCTCTGATTTTCTGCCTATGACCTCCAGGGGCAGAGAAGAGGTCATTCATTATACTCCCTAAGGGCAGAAAAACAAGGTACTCAAGCGGTCAAAGCTTTCAGGTAACTTTCTCCAGTCTTTCAGCTCAACACTAACAATGCAAAGGAAATATTCATTAAATGCTTACCATGAGCCAGGATATTATGCTAAAATTTTACATTTCCACGACAGGGTTCTTATGTTGGCTATTATAATAAATTATAATAATCTATTATATAATAATAATATAATAATCTATTTAAAGACTCAAACATTATGATTCTTCACAGGTGGCAAAAGACACTAGTAAAGTTAATAAATCCTCAAATTTCACTGGATTTAAACATCAGAGAATCAAATTTCATACAATTAAAGAATATTATTATCATGCATATCTTTCACTACATTTTCTAGTGAAACATATCTTCCCTTAGCAAATGAACAAAATGGCAGAACGTGTAAGTATTCGCAGGTATACGGATGAATCATAATCAGACAGATTTTTGGCCTCCATGTGAAACTGTCCTTTAATGATATCCATTAACCGCCCCCAAATCTAAAGTACAGTAAAACTATTACGGTAGTTTACTTTTTATATGACTTGTCAGCAGAGAAATAGTACGAATCTATTTCTGGACAGTGGAAGAAATAACATAACTCACGTGACTATTAGCTTGGGGCTGATTCCTATAGCTTTTCATTATTTCTTGAAAAGTTCTTTCTTCTTTTGTTACCTAGGGAAAATAAAAACTACATTTATCAACTGCTTTTGAAAGAAAAATGGCTCTGAACAAAAACTTCAATTATAAATTGGCACTGAGAGCAGCCTTCCAGAAAGCCATTAACCCCAGGCCAATTCATGACTAAAAACCACTAACATTTATGATTTTTATTACTTTTAAAGTTCAGGCTTTGTGGCCTGTGGGGCCTCAGTTAATAGTTTCATTAATCAAAAGCACTGAAATTGCTATGGTATAACTCTACTAAAAAAGCTTTTCTTTATAAAGAGACATAAGAAAACTCAGACCTGCTCAATCCCCTGCAGACTGCAGTTTTATTAGTTTTAAGTACTATGTAAAATAAAATTAACCAGATACTACAGGACAGAAAATGTCCTGTGGTGATTCACCATAAAACTGAGTGGTTATTACAGGATTAGGTTTTTAACATTTTAGAAGACTATAGGGTTTCTAGTACGAGAAGTCACAGTGGTAACCCCAAGAAAAGAAGTGGACTAGTGATCCAAAAAGGAATCCTTTCTGTTTTGTCTGTTAGAAAGTCCAGTTAAATTACTCCTTTCTCTGCTTCCCTGTCCATTAGCACTAACCTATTCTCTATAAAGATGACCCGGAAATAGCAAAATTTAAACTCTGCCAACTTTTTGGAAAACAAAAATGATTAGTTAGTTGATAACATTTACTAAGAACTATATTGAAAAGAGATTATTATTTTTTAAAATTAGTTTTATTGTCACACTTTTGATACACATAATGATCACATTCATCACAGGGAATGTGTACCTGTACATAATATATCTTGATTCTTCTTTTTCCCATTCCTCTCCCCTCCCTTTAACCCTTCTTCCTCTCCTTATTTACAATAGCTTTGTTTCCATTCTTTTTCCTTCAATGTAGAGAGATCTTTAAAGAGGCCTCATGAGAAAGGGGTCAAAAGGAGTTTGAAAACATGTCCTTTGCTCCAAAAAGCCTAAAAATCAGGTTTTAAAACTATCTGAAAAAAATAAACTATGCATCTGTTAGGACTGTCAATTTGGCTAATACAGTCAAGACAAAAATTGCAAATGATTTTTTCAGATATATCAGACTTTTATTTATTTATTTAGGTACCGAGGATTGAACTCGGGTTCTTACGCTTGTGAGGCAGGAGCGGAACCACTGAGCTAAATCTCTGGCCCATAAGACTTTTTTTTTTTTTTTTTTTTTTTTTTTAACCAGGGATTGAACTAGGATCCTTGCACTTGTGAGGCAGGGGGCAGAATCACTGTGCCAAATCCCCGTATCAGAATTTTAAAAATAGGCAAAATATGCTATTTTATCGCTTAAAACATGATGCAGCAACTGAAAGTAAACTGCAATTCTTTTTTTGTGTGTGTGTTTTGTTTTGGTACTGGGGATCGAACTCGGTCCTTGTGCTTGCAAGGCAGGCACTAGAACCACTGAGCCAAATCCCCAGCCCGTAAAATGCATTTCTGATGTAACACAATAAATTACTGGAAGGTAACATGGGGCAGAAGCTCTTATGGCAGATAACGAGTGAGGAAATCTCAAGTTGTCATTTTTTATCTTAACTTTGGTCAAATTACTTTCAGTTCTGGGCTCAGTTATTCACCTAAAATGTAAAGATCATTTTACTTTAAATTACCATAGCAGATATCATAGGGTAGGGGTAGAAATGTTACTGTTCACACTTACCAACTCCTTTATGACTAATGTATTAGTTTTTTCCTATAATTAAATAAACTTTGACTAATGTATTCTTATGAAGTAGGAAAGCTGATTATGAAACTAATGGAAGAGTCCAAGGAATATAGTAGTATGAAATTACTATTTGATAATAGTGGATACTATTGGCTTGCAGCACTAAAGGCAAACTAAAGGTCAAGTTCAATGGATTTTGACTTGATGGTTCAAATAAGGTAACAAAAGCAAAGACTTCTCCCATCCTTTACATTACCTTTGCCATGATGTAAAAGGCACAAAGGAGGAGCTGATCCAAATGCCTGTCTTTCATTAAATCAGGGCAGTGAACTAAAGTGAATTCAAAACATGTCCAAATCTTCCTTCGTAATTCATTTGAAACATCCAGTTTTAAACATAAATCACGTAAGCGCACACTCGCCAAATGATAGACCTAAGATATAAAATAACACATTGATGCAAAAACATTAAGTAAACAATCTCTCAAATTTATGTCTTATCATGAACATGGGCTTTCAGATCAGGATTAGAAAATACCTAGGCCGTTGATTTGTGAAATTTTCTGTTCTACAGCACTAGTTTATTGCTATAGCAAAATAATATAGATTAAACAAAATGCTCACTGCAAAGCTAATTTAAAAGCATTTTTAAAGCTCAGTGTGTGGTACATTTTTTTTTTGGTACCGAGGACTGAACTCGGGACCTTATGTTTGCAAGGCAGGCAGCGGAACCACTGAGCCAAATCCCTGGCCCTGTGGTACACATTTTTAATTCCAGAACTTCAAGGTGATGAGGCAAGAGGATTGCAAGTTTGAGTCCAGCCTAGATAACTTAGTAAGACCCTGTTTTAAAATAAAAAATAAAAAAGAGCTGGGAATGTAGCACAGTTTGAAGGCCCTGGGTTCAATTCCCAGTACTGCAAAAAAACTTTAAAAAATAAAAAGATGTTACCTTATTCTGTACCTATACAAAGCATGTAACACTAAAAATTCAAGATTTAATTGTATCACGATCATTACGAAGGCATCATTTTCCAAGTATTCACAAATTCCTGTATTATTTGCTTTAGGTTCAGGTAAAGTTGTTAGGAAGTCTAATAAGCCTAATGGTAAAGAACTAAAATTTCTTTTTCCAAAAGTGAGTTAGACAACAAAATCATTTAAAATGTTTCTCCTAGGGCTGGGGATTTAATTCAGTGGTGCCATCACCTGCCTCACAAGTGCAAGGTCCGGAATTTGATTTCTGGTACAAAAAAAAAAAAAAAAAAGTTTTAAAAATTTTGGAACAGGGTCTTGCTAAGTTACTACATTGCCCATGCTGGGAGTTATTTCTGAAAAAAAACAAAAAAAAAAAAGTTTTAAAAATTTTGGAACAGGGTCTTGCTAAGTTACTACATTGCCCATGCTGGGCTCAAACTTTTTTTTTGGTACCAGGTATTGAACCCAGGTTCCTGCATTTGCAAAGCAGGTAGGGGAACCACTAAGCTAGCTTAATTCCCAGCCCTGGGCTCAAACTTTTGATCCTCTTGCCTCAGCCTCCTAGGGTGCTGGTATTACAATTGTGTACTACCACATCCAGTTCTATGATCACAGAGGAAAAGATGTGAGAGCTTTAACTTCATGAGAGAAGTTAATGGATATAGTTGTAGCTAGAAGTATTAAAAATAATACATAATTAACTAATATTTGGTTAAGTATCTTTTACAGAACTGATGCAATGCCTTAGAGATCTACATATGCTGAAAGTTTTTTCATTCTAACAAAAAATTCACAGTAAATCATATCCATGCTAGAATACCAGTACCACACTGAATTCAACAAGTATAAGAACTACAATTTACTCAAGGAAGGGTTATTTTTAATTTATTATAGATTCGGATAATTCAACCTTCTCATTTTTTTCTTTTGATGCTAGAAATGGAATGCAGGACCTCATTCATGCTAATTACGTGCTTTACTGCTAAGATCCCTTAGCCTCTCAATTGTTTCATTTTTATTTTTATTTATTTATTTTTTGAGACAGGGTCTCACTATGTAGTTCAGACTGCCCTGGACCTATGTAACCCAGGCTGATCTCTAACTCAAAGCGATCCTCCTGCCTCAGCCTCCCAGTGCTGGATTACAGGCGTGTGCCACCACACCTGGCTCAATTCTTTTAGAAGAATTTCCTAGCTCTTAATCTGTATCTAGTAGGTAATCATTAAATGAAAAGAAAATAAATTAATTCTGAAATAAAATTCTGAACCAAGAATTCACAAAGCCTTATTTTTGTCAATCTTAATTAGATTCATTACCCAAGGTAGTCATGTATCATTTTGAAAATTAAATGGGAAATCACGGGGAAAATGCTCTGTTTGTCTTGACAAAATACTCCTTAGACAGCCGTAAGTGGTGGGTAGGGGTAGAGACACAGGAGAGAAGGACATGGGAGATGGAAAAAAAGGTTATGCTTCTCCCCCAACCATCCTACCTAGCAACTACAGAAGCCCTACTTTCATGTTTGGTTTATTTTCTTGGGACATACTTGATTCAAAGAAAGGATTTCCTTATAAAATAAAACTCTCCAGGGATTTAGCTCAGTGGCACTGTGCCTGCCTTGCAAGAGCAAGGTCCTGAGCTAGATCCCTGATACTAAACACATACATACATAAATAATTTAAAAAGTTCTCAAGAATCACCTGCCTTCAAACTCACAAATGTGATGAAAATAAATTAATTATAGTGGAAAGCAACAGAAAACAAAGAATGATTGTTATAGAAACTGGTTGTCTTCCAGTATATGGTCTCTTTTTTCTACAACAGTAAAACCCTTGACATTTAGTTCTAGCTTCCTATGAAAAAGACTACATTTGCCCCTTAAAAATTTTAGAGGCAGTTACATGACTAAGTGGGAAATAATTAGAATGTTGTATATAAATTCTGGGGAGAATTCCAAAAGTGTTCCTTACTTCCCACTACTTTCTTTTGCTTTCTAACACTGCCTTATAAATTTGCCTATGCCTTTCACTGACATGTCTTGAAATGCTTTTCTGCAATGATACATCAAATTCCTTTTCCATTCAAAGATGACTTTAGGAAGTTTTAGGGTGTACAAAGTTTTTTGAGACAGGGTCTCTTTATGTATTTCAGGCTGGCCTTGAAGTCACTGTATAGCCTGGGATGGCCTTGAACTTGTGGTGATCCTGCTGCCTCAGATTCCCAAGTACTGGGATTACAGGCATGTGCCACCACAATCGGCACTAGGATACTTTCTTGGACCCTGCCTGAACACAGCAGGACAAAGTGAAATTATTGTGTTAAATCTTTTAATCCTTTTTCATTAATAATAATATAGGTATTAAGAACTAGTCATATCTTAATTTAAAGGGGAATAACTGGGTTATAAAAACTGTGTAGTCTTTGCACAGAACCTCACTAATCTTTAAAATGATTTTTTAGTAGTTTAACTTCATCTGTGAAATATAAGACACACTTGTCCCATAATGAACTCCATTCTAGATCATGTAATACAATGGACTTCCAGTAAATTTCAGTGCATTTGTAACTGCTTATATGCAAGCTGGCAGGAAACATAAATTAGATCTAAAAATGGAATCTTACCAAATAAGCTCAAGTCTAAATATAGCTCACCAAGATCACAATGTTCTATTCAGAGTTGTCATATATTCCTTAAAAGGTTATAAGTGCATTATCTTATACCAAAGTTGGATAAAGACATTACAAGAAAAAAACCTATAGACCAATGTCTTACAACTATTGATTCAGAAATCCTCAAGTACTGACAAACCAAATTCAAGAACATGGTAAGAGGATTATACACCATGACCAAACAGGATTTATTCCTGGAAGATAGGAAAAAGTTGACTTAGGGAAAAATCAATTTGCGTAACACTCATTAACAGAATGAAGAAAAAAAAATCCATATCATTTCAAGTGATATATAAGAAACATTTTACAAAATTGAAATACCTTATTTATTTATTTATTTATTTAGGTACTGGGGATTGAACTCAGAACCTTGTGTTTTTGAGGCAGGTGGTGAAACCACTGAGCTAAATCCCCAGCCCTAAAATAAACTTTTTAATACCTGAAAACATTCAATATGCTACTAATAGAAGGAAACCACCTCAAAAGAATAAAAGGTATACATGAAAAATCCACAGCTAACATTATGTTCAAAATGAAAGCCTGAAAGCTCTTCCTTTAAAATGTTGAGAAGCAAGAAAAAGACATGAAAGGCATCCAAACTGGAGGGAAAAAAGTAAAAATCTCTGTTCACAGATGACAGGATCTTATGTGTAGAAAATGTAAAATCTCTAGAATACATACACTGGCAGAACTAATGATTCAGCAAAGCTGTAGGGTACAAAATCAATACTCAAACACTTGTGTTGGGCATGGTGGTGGATACTAAGCAATCATCAGATAAGTAATCATCAGACTGAGATTGTTTGTTTGGTACTGGGGATTGATCTTGGCACCTTGTGCTTGTGAGAGGCTGAGGTAGTTTTAAAACTAAAAGTTTGAGGCCAGTCTAGACAGTTTTGAAACAGCAGGACACTATTTCAAAAATAAAAAGGACTGGTTATTTAACTCAGTGGTAGAGCACCTGCCTAGCATGCAGAAGTCCTGGGCTCAAGCCTAACAACCCCTTCTACCCTGGATAAATTAACTTTTGTCAAAATTAAAAACTTTTATGTGTCAAAGGATATCATGAGTAAAGTGAAAAGACAACTCACAGAATGGGAAAAAACGTTGTAAATCCTGTATCTAATAAGAGATTAATTTCCAGAATAAAGAACTCCTATAACTCAACCACAAAAACCCAATTGAAAAATGGGCAAAACACTTGAATAGACATTTCTGCCAAGATATACAGATGACCAACAGCTCATGAAATGATGCTTAACATCAGTAATCATATGGGAAATGAAAATCCAAACTTCAGTAAGATACTATTTAACACTCCGTGGATCTCTCTCTCTCTTTCACACACATTGGCAAGAACTTGCACACTGCTAGTAAGTACTGAAAATAGTATCAGAACTATGAAAAATGCTATTGTAGCTGCTGAAAAATTCAGTAATAAACCCAAAAGAATTGAAAGCAGTGACTTGAACAGTACCAATATTCATAGCAGCATTATTCAGAAGAGTCAAAAGGTGGAAACAACCCACGTATCCATCAACAAATAAGTGGATAGACAAAACGTGGAATATACACACACGGAAGCACCACTCAGCCCTAAGAATGAAATTCTAAAATATGCTACCACATGGCTCAATCCAGAAAGCACTAGGCTCTGAAATAAACCAGTCACAAAAAGGATAAACTATTGTATGATCTCACTTACATATGGTGCTTCCCCCTTCCCCCTTTGTAGTGCTGGGGATCAAAGCCAGGACGTTGGGCAGGCAAGGCAAAAGTTCTACTACTTACTCAATTCTCATATGAGGTACACAGACTAGACAAATGCACAGAGAAAAAAGAGAATGGTGGTTGCCAGGGGTTGGGGGAAGGAAGAAATGGAGGATTATTATTCAGTTAGTACAGAATTTCAAGGGTGAGAAGATTAAAAAGGCTGGGGATTTAGCTCCATGGCACCGCACCTGCCTGGCAAGCACAAGGTCCTGAGTTCAAACCCCAGTACCAAAAAAAAAAGTTCTAGAGATGGCTGGTAGTAATGGCTATATAACAATGTGGATACAATGAACTCAGCTGTATACTTAAAAATGGTTAAAATGAGCCAGACATAGTGATACATGCTTAAGGCAAAGGTAAGAGGATCAAAAGTTTGAGTCTACCCTGGAAAACTTAGTGATATCCTGTCTCAAAACTTAAAAATAAAAATGGGATGGGGATGTAGCTCAGTGGCAGAGTGTTTGCCTAGTATATATGAGACCTGCATTCAATCTCCAGAACTGGAAAACAAACAAGAAAATGGTTAAGATGGCAAATTTTATGTTATGCATTTTATGCGCACAAACATTAAAACAGAATGAATATTAAAGCGAAAAAGGCCAAAATTACTGTAACTCAATCTTACTCGCACTGAAAAAATGAGCTCTTTTTAAAGTTAAAGAAACACATACCTTTCTGTAAAATAGTGCTAAAGACCCAGTTCTCTTTGGTTTGTTTATTCCAGTCTGATGAATTTCTTGTGCTTTAGTCAAATAGGTTTGTTTTGGAGAAGCACTAGCTAATGACTGTGCAGTGAGTGACACAGGACTCTCAATTTTGGACTCTTGACTTGCATTCATGGAAATAGGAATCAGTGTGATCTCTCCAGAATCATTTGCAACACCTAAATGTACAAGCAAGAGTTCACAGTTATAAAAAGAAGCTGCACGTGTTCCAGCGAAGTTGTCAATTACATTTTGTCAACTACACATATACGTCTCTGTATGTGTAAGTACAGGAATGTTAGGAAAGGAGAAGGCGGCCACAAAAATAGTAACACTATGCTAGGGTTGACCTCGTTTTCTTTCTCTTTTTTTTGTCTGTATTGGGAATCGAACTCAGGTCACGGTGTTTGTGACGCAGGCGGCAGAACCACTGAGCTAAATCCCTGGCCCCTCATCTTTTATTTCTCCCCTCAAATAAGAATATTGTTTTGTTTTGATATTTTTATAATTAATTTTATTTTAAAAAGAAAATTTTGCTATTCTGTATATGCCTGTGATGTTTTTATACTTTAAATTTATATTTATTTATTGTTTTGGTTTTTTGAGACAGGGTCTCACTATGTAGTTGAGACTGGAACTCACTATGTAGCCCAGGGTAGTCTCGACCTCACAGTGATCCTCCTGCCTCAGCCTCCCGAGTGCTGGGATTACAGGCGTGAGCCACCATGCCCAGCACTAAATTTATATTTTAAAAAGGCATTTTGTTCTGTTTTGAGCACTTAAAAGATATTTCAAAGAAAAAATGGAAGGGGGTGAAGGGAGGGCAGGGATATGGGGAAAAATAAGAAACAATACATATCATGTAAAGGTACAAGATCCTAATGATAAATGTAACTATATTGTTTGCTTTAAATGTACCAACAAACTTAATGGGGGAAAAACAGATTTTTAAATCAAAACACAAAATTCTTGTTTAGTACACTCATTTGTAAAGTCCAGATAACAAATCCTAAGAAACAGGGTAGTAAATTTATAAAATGTGAAAATTCAAAAAACAGAATAGTTTAACAACAGAACAAGAAAATTTAAAGGAAGTGAAATTACTCAGTAAAATACTGTAATACTTCATTAGACACTGTTCAAATCCATAAAGTGTACGACACTAAGAGTGAACCTTAGTGTGAACTATGGGCTATGGACGATGATATGTCCATGCAGTCCACCAGCTGTAATGAATGTACCACTCTAGGGTGGTGACGGCTGGGGAGGCTGTGGTGGGGGGTGGAAATAATGACAGGGAGTGTATGGGAATCTCTACCTTCCTTTCAATTTTGCTGTGAACCTAAAACTGCTCAAAAAAAGGGGTGAGGGGTTCAGGTTTCTAACTCAAATACAAGTCAGAAAGACCATGTGGCCCATTTCAATAAGACAGTTTTAAAATTTTCATCTAACTCAAAAAAAAATCTGAAGGGCTTTAAAATGTTACCGTGCAATGGAATTGTAACTTTCTGTCCTGTTGTCCCTGCAACTGTGGCTGTGGCCATCGTTAGAAGAGTTTGCCCAGGTGAAATTGATATATTTTCAACAGTGATGCTTGAAGAGGGAGCGATTTTCAGTTTTGTCCCGTCTGTTATAATCTTGTCCATGAGCATTTCTTTTGGGGGATCCTCTCCAAAAAGTCTTCTCTTAGCACTTCCAGCAGCAGGAGAACTGTAGCGTTCATGGACAGAAATTGGAGACAGTGGTTGTATATCTAATAAAGACAAAAATAAATTTAAAATAGTTTGAAATGTATTGTAAAATCATAAATCAGTTTCACTCATTCATTTGCTAGGCACTAAAGATCTAGCAGTGAATAACACTCTGCCCTCACTGAACATCGGTCTAATGGGAGAGAGAGGCATAAAATAAGTCATTAAACGTAAAGTAAGTCAATAAAATGTGAAAATCACGATAGTTAATCTTCCTTGTTTTTTTCCTTTTTTTTGGACTGGGGATCGAACTCTGGACCTTGAGCTTTTGAGGCAGGCAGTAGAACCACTGAGCTAAATCCCCAGCCCATCTTGTTTTTTGAACCTCTGTCTATATTTAAAGGAGCAACATATTAAGGATAACAGAAACGGAGTGACAGAATGATGTAACCACTAAATTTAAGAAGTACTCCAATTAGCTTTTTTCTCCCAATCTTAACTAGTAAATAGCACCTGAGAAAAAGAGAAGTAAAAGTAAAAATCAGTGTTTTGGGTCATAGTTTTGTCTCCTTCCACCCTCTAAGCAGTTTAAGCAGCAGCCATGGCTTTCAGGTTTAGTATATACAGAATTATCTTTAATGGGTCCATCAGAAGATAGGAATAAAAGTGATAGGACTCTTTAACCTGCCCTTAACCTGGGGGCTGGCAGTAGTGCATTCATCAAAAAGAAAGTAAGGGGGCTGGGGATTTAGCTCAGTGGCGCCGTGCCTGCTTCGCAAGCACAAGGTCCTGAGTTTAATCCCTGGCGGGGGGAATGTAACGGCGATGTACTAGGCCTCTTGTCTAGTGCTGACTTGCTGCAGGGCTACTCTCCATTACGTATAGTCAGAGGGAACAGACAGGTTCTTTGGGCTGTTTCAACCATACATCTTTTCTCTTCTGTTCTTTCCTCAACCAATTATTTCTTCGCAGACATACATATTATACTTTAAAAGTGAAGGCATCTCAGTATTCATTTTTATATTCACTTATTAGACAATCATTAATCTATTTTCAAAACATTTTTAAGAGGTATAAAAATTACTCTGGCAATGATCTGAGAGCTCTCTGTACTAGTGAGATGGCTAGAAAAATAGTCATGGTTAAAAAGTCTTTTCATTATTCCAAGCACTATGAAAGCAGCAGCTCTGATTTCCTCAGTAAATAAACAGAAACTATTTTTTTCCTTTTTTTTTTTTTTCTGAGACAGAGTTCAGGCTGGCCTTGAGCTCACTATGTAGTTCAGGATGGCCTCAAACTTGTGGGAGTTTCTTCTACCCCAGCCTCCCCTAAATGCTGGGATTACAGGTATGTGCCACCATATCCAGGTAGAAATTTCTATTGTAGTTCCCAAGATGCTTTTGCAGGAGTCTACTTGGATGGCTCATATCTAAGGAATCCAAGACAGCCCTTGAATCTGACTAGGACGGCTCAAAGGTGATCAAGAGAAGACTTGAGTTAGTCATACAAATTCTCTGAAATAAATTTTTCTTAGGGCAATATTGGAAAACACAGTGGAGGATATTATAATATTTAATAAATATACAAATGAAAAACTGACCCAAACATAGAAAGAAATATGACAATTTGCTGTACTACAGAAAAAGTGCTTAAATGCATGGTTAAAGTATTCTTGGAAAAATTTTTTTTTGGGGGATGGTACTGGAGGTTGAAGCCAGGGCCTTCACACTGAGCTACATTGCAAACATTTTTGGTCAAGTACCTTTTTTTTTTTTAATACTGGGGATCGAACTTGGGATCTTGTGCTTTGCGAGGCAGGCAAAGGAACCACTGAGCTAAATCCCCAGCCCCCAGAACATTTTTGTTATGAGACAGGGTACTGCTAAGTCACTAAGTTACCCAGTGTGGGCTTAAGCTCTTCCTGGGTGAGCCTTCCAAAGTGCTAGGAGTATTACACCACCATGCCTGGCTCCCAGCCCTCTGCATTATTGATGAAGTGTGATTGAGAATTACATTGTGCATCTTATCCTGTTATAGTAAGTCAGATTGCCATTTAATTTCCTTTGAAGTACTCTGCATTGCTTCAAACATACTTATCCTTTTTTTCTTGCCACTTTCTGGAGCAGTTCTGGAAGTCTTTTTTTGTGAGTGTTTTTAGTTGTGCAAACACGGCTGCCTTGATGTCCTAAACGGACTCAAAATGTTTGCCTTTCATAATTATTTTGACTTTGGGGATGAGCCAGAAGTTACATGGTGCCAGATCAATCAATAAGGTGGATAAAAACACATTGTATGATCCTGCTTTTTCACTGGATGACAGCAGCATTCAATGCTTTAAAAATCAAAGCTTCTTGGGGCTGGGGATTTGGTTCAGTGGTTTTACCACCTGTCTTGTAAGTGCAAGGGCCCGAGATCCTTCCCCAGTACAAAAAAAATCACACCTTCTAAAGATATTTACAAAAGAGGAGTTCCAGAACTGCTTCTAAAAGTGGCAAGAACAACAGGATATGTGTGTTTGAAGCAAGAGGAAGTATTTTAAAGGGGATCAGTGTCAATGTCTTTTCTTGTAATACATTTAAAAAAAAAAATTAATATTCACTGTATTATTTGATCATCCATTGTATTTTGAAATAGTTCTTGCTATGTTGTCCAGGCTGGCTGGACTGGAACCTGCCATTCTCCTGCTTCAGCCTTCCGAGCGTTTTGTTGTTTTGCAGTGCTGGGGATCAAACACAGGGCCTCACATATACTACAGAAGTGGTCTACCACTGACCTACACCCCTAGCCCAGTTTAGTAAAGTTGATTTGTTTTATATTTTTTGAAACAGGGTTTCTTTATGCTATCCAAGTTAGCCTGGAACTTGTGATCCTTCTGCCTTAGCCTCCCAAGTGCTGGATTGTGGGTATATACTACCATGTTTCGTCAGCCTGTTAAGTTTTTGTGTTTTGTTTGGTTTGTTTTTTTGAGACAGGGTCTCACTATGTTGTTCAGGCTGGCCCTGAACTCAATGTGTAGTCCAGGCTGGCCTCGAACTTGAGGCAATCCTCCTGCCTCAGCTTTCTGAGTGCTGGGATTACAGGCGTGTACCACCATGCCTGGCTGTAGCCTATAATTTTTTTTTTTTGGTACCAAGACACAAACTCAGGCCCTTGTGCTTGCGAAGCAGGCAGAGGAACCACTGAGCCAAATCCCCCGCCTGTCTGCTAAGTTTTTGAAAAAGAAAATGATACCCCATGTTTGTGTTTTAAATTATGCTGTACTAAAATATTTTTACTTCTCTAAATATTAATAAGTGGCAGAAGAATTTTAGATATTTTGTTAAAATTTACAAAGGTCACAAAACAGTGAGTTACTTCCACTGATTAATATCACATTGCATTTATAGCCCACAAGTTGTTTCTGTCATTACAGACTTTCTGTAAAGCTAAGATTACAGATACAAACACAAAGGCATATACACTTCCACACACAGTTCAAAAATGGATATAGAAGGGCCAGGGATTTGGCTCTTTGTACTGTCCTCGGGACATGTTTGAGTTGGAAGGAACTCTATAGGTTTCATTTCCTTATCCAGACACTCCAGTAATACTGAGCAAGTGGCCTCTTCTTTATTCATTGCTCTCAGAATGCCATCTATGTACCATTCAACACTTCTTTTTTTTTTGGTACCGGGGATTGAACTCAGGTCCTTTCGCTTGTGATGCAGGCACGGTGCCACTGAGCTAAATCCCCAGCTCTCATTCAACACTTTTGATGTGTCTCCAAGCAAGTACTTTATCCCAGATCTATTAGGTATTTGAGCCATAAAAATTCTTTTGGGGATTAATGGGAATTAAAATTAGTTGAACTACTTTATTTAGCAATTTGTAAATATCTAGTAAAGTTAAAATACCCAGATATTCCTGCTAGGCTTATGCCCTCAAGAAACTCTCACATGTATGCATAAAACAATAGTACAAGAATCTGTATGTGGCACTGTAACAATGAAAAACTGAAAACAGTCTTAACTGTTTCAGAATAGGAGAACAGAATAGCTGAACAGAATAGTTTGTACAAGGGTGATAAAAAATGTAAATATTTAAATTTTAAAAAATCATTACAGTGAAAGCCACACTGCTATTAATCCCCCTCAAAATGCTGCCTTTCACTTCAAACATACTTACCCCATCATTATTACCACTTTCTTAAAAATTCTAGAAGTTCTCTTTTGTGTCTTTATAGGTGTGACAAAAATACAGTGAGTAAATATTGTGCCATTTGAATGAGAAAAGCAAGCTGTTAAGAATATTAAGGTTGTGTCCTCACTCACTTCATTTACTTCATCTGGCACCTTAAAACTTCTGGCTCTTCCCCAAAGTCAAAATACCATGAAAGGTAAACGTTTAGAATCAGTACAGGACATCCAGGCAGCCACAAAAGCACAATTAGAGACACTCACAAAAAGCGACTTCCAGAGCTCCTTCAGAATGTGGCAAGAACAATGAAATAAGTGTTCAAAGAAGGGGTTAGGCGCGGTGGCCCACATGGTGCCTGTAATCCCAGCACTTGGGAGGCTGAGACAAGAGGGTCACTGTGAGTTTGAGGCTAGTCTGGGTTACACAGCAAGACTCTATCTCGAAAAACCAAATCAAACATACTCCCCCAAACCCCCCAAAAAACAGAAACAAAAAAAGTAAGGGGGAGTATTTTGAGGGGGATTCATGATAATGTATCTTTTACTGTAATAAATTTTTTAAAAATTTAAACACAGGGCTGGGGATGTAGCTCAGTAGTTCGGTGGCCTGCCTCGCAAGCATAAGGACAAGAGTTGAATCCCCGGCACCAAAGAAAAAAAAGGATATAGAGGTACCTTACCTGTATAACCTTGTTTATCTTTTTAGAGATTTTTAACTCGCTAAAAAAAAAAAAAATCCTAGAATTATATAATGCAAAGATGTATATATCAGTTTGCTGTGTCACAAGAGAAAGTAAGGAAAATGCATTAAAATCTTGGCAAGGCTCAAAATGAACAATTTTAAGAGAGTATAGAAAAGTCATCTCTTAGGGCCAGGGATTTAGCCCAGCAGTTTCGCCGCCTGCCTTGCAAATGCAAGGACCCGAGTTCTATTCCTGGTACCAAAAAGAAAAAAAAGAAAAGTCATCTCTTAGATAAACTTGAGCATCTAAAGGAAATATGAGTTCTTTATTTGGTTTGTTTTTTTATCTTGCTATGTAGTTCAGGACGGTAGTGAATTCACTTTGATCTTCCTGTCTGTTTCCCAAATGTTAGAATTACAGGTGTGTGCCACCATGCCCAGCAATGAATTTTTTGTTTTAAATATTTATCTTTTTTTTTTTTTTTTTTTTGGTACTGGGGATCAAACTTGGGACCTTGCGCTTGCAAGGCAGGCAGTGGAACCACTGAGCTAAATCCCCAGCCCTTAAATATTTATCTTCTTATAGAGACATATATAAATAAAAGAAGAATAAAACTTTTGTCAAAATTAGAAAAGTAGGTATTAATTTAAATAATTTCCCATTACCATTTAGGAAATAAGTACATGCTTATTAAAAGTTCAAAATACCATTTCTACAATAATCATTATATGAGCTTTAAAAATAGACTATATTGAAAATTGGACTGGAAATCCTTAATATAAAAGTATATGACAGAGCTGGGGATTTAGCTCAGTGGTTCTGCCGCCTGCTCACAAGTGCAAGGACCCAAGTTTGATCCCGGGTACCAAAAAAAAACAGTATATGATATACCACAAAAAGGTACTTGGATAAACATTAAGTCCCTTCTCATACCCAAATAAATTATATCTTAATATAAGATTGAGACTTAAAAATTTCCCTGAAATAATTTTTATTATTTTTCATCATTTTACCAATGTTGACCTACCCCTTCGAAGACCCCCACTGTCTGTCCGAACTTCCTTGACTCTTGGATGGATTATAGGAGACATTGGCATCATGGGAAGATGACCCTGTACATTTCCTCCATTTCCTGTTTCAAAGTTATTTGGAAATATAACCTATAGAAAACAAAAATCCTTTGCTTTCATACAGATGAACTCAATCATTAAAACTTAGACAAAATGAGAAAAAGTTTTAACTGCTTTTATTGTTTTATTTTCCTTTCCTTCACAAAATAGCCTGCATAAAATGCTCAATTATTACCACTCATAAATATATAAAATGACTTCATTTCACTCAATCTTTTAATTTACCCATGCAAGATAGTGAGATTCATGAGAAGTAAAACTTTGAAACAGGCACTCTCATCCTCCATTTAGGGATGAGGAAATTGAGGCTCTAAATGTGAAAGTTGCCCATCACTACACTACTATCATGTAAGAAGAACAGGGACCTTCAATCCTTTTCCTTCAAATTCATAGCTTTTCTTCCTTTTCTCAATGGACTTTATAATGGATATATATACTGAAGACTGACCAATTAATCAGAGTCTGCTGCAGAAGACCAAGCTGGGAAGAAAAATTTCAAGAAACTACCTTGTTTTCAATTCTTCCCGGTCTTGAATAGTTCTTCCATTAGTTTGGGATTAGGGAAAAATTCAAGAACGTTAGTTAAGTATAAGGAGACAGAAAAGCAATGAAAGGTCAGACAATATGAACTAAAAAGAATAACAGATACAGAGGGAAAAACCCCTCAATTTCTCCTAAGAAGCTGACCTGTTGAATGTCATTTGTACAAAACTTTTGGCACAAGCCTTTTATTTTTAAATTCTAAATACTACTAATGAGGTGTTCAATTTTTTATATAGACATTTGAAAATTTAAGATTTAAACATTTCTTGGCTATGATATCAAAAGCACAAGCAACAATGGAAAAAAAGCTAGAAAAATAAGACTTCATTCAAATCAGTAATTTTTGAATTCTAAAAGATACCATCACTAAAGTAAAAAATCAACCTAGAGATTGGGTGAGAAGTTTTGCAAATCATATACCTGATAGGTAATTGTATGAATATATAGAGAACTTCTATAAGGCAATAATAAAGTAGTAGAGACAACCAAACCAAAAAATGGGCAAAGGATCTGAATAGATATTTCTCTAAAAAAATGCACAAATGACTAATAAATACATGGAAAGATGCTGAACGTGTCAGGGAAATGTAAATATAAATCAAAACCATGAGGAAAATATGACCACATCTACTAGATGCAAGAAAGACAGATAATAACAAGCAAATGGACTCTTTATAGACTTCGTGGTGGGAAAAAGAAATGGTGCAGCCATTGTTTTTTTTTTGGTACTGGGGGTCTGAACCTAGTGCCTTCCAACTGAGCTACATTGTCAGCACCCACCCCACTGCCCACTGTCTCACCTGCCTTTTTGGGGGGTGGTACTTGGGATTGAACCCAGGACCTGTGCACTGAGTTACATCCTGAGTTCTTTAAAAAAAAAAAAAAAATTTTTTTTAAAGGTTTTAAGACAGGTCTGTCTAAGTTCCCAGGCTGGGCTCAAACTTGAGATTCTCTTGCCAGCCTCCCAGAGTGGTGGGAGCCATCAAGTCCAGTTCCATGGCATAACCACTTTAGAAAACACAGTTATCCATATGACCCAGCAATTGTACTTGTAGAACTGTATTTTCATTATGTACTGCAAACATATCACAAGAAAGCTGTGATTTTTGAAATCATTAGATTATTAGCCTTGCCCTTACTTACTTCTTCACAGGTAGGGATTTTGTTTGCAGAAGCCAAGAGAGCTCCCCACAGAGCAGAATTGTGACTCCATGCTAAACTCTCTAAAATCTGTTCTTCAATGCTGTTCAGGTGTTTGACCATGTCCCTGGAGAGTCCCTCCTCTGAGCGAATCACCACCTCAATAACCTGAAGAGGAGAAAGGTGAAAAGATAAAGTGGTTTCAAACAAAAAGTTATAATCTGAGCTTTCAAGCATAACTTGCTTCAGTCTCACTGTGACACAGAACCAAGGTTATCTCTAAGCCATAATTTTGTGACTTGCTAGTATTTTGTAATTTATAGAGCAGCTTTTATAAGGTCTTTAAAATATTTTCACATACATTTCTGTTTGTTTTGGTCTGATTTTATACATAAAAAACTGAGGCAATGATAAGCAGAAATTAGTAAACACCAAAGAGTCATGTCCTGGGTTTTTAGTCCAGTTCTTACTATCCTATCCCAGACTATCCTTCCCAATTTCTCTAAAGAACAGAATGAGCTACTTAAAATCAACTGTGGGCTTTTTCTCATCATAAATACCAAATGGTGAATGACTCTGGCATAGGAGAGGCCCAGGAGGCCCAGGAAAGGAAAGCCACGGCAACTTCTGAGTTGGATTTCACAGTAACATCTGGGTTTGAATCAGGGAGCTTATAGAGGAAAGGGTGAAGACAGAGCGGATCCCCATCATCAAGGTGGGCCCCTCTGATCAAGGACACAAAGCTCAAGTATCTGGAGGAGACCTATTTCTTTCCTATACATTGAAAAATCTGAGATTACTTTTTTTGTTTTTTTGGTACTGGGGATTGAACTCAGGACCTTGCACTTATGAGGCAAGTGGTTGCACCACTGAGCTAAATCCCCAGCCCTGAGATTAGTTTTTCTGATGCCATCCCTGAAGGATGAAATTTAAGATTATGCCCATGCAGACAGAAGCAGACTAACTATGTTTAATGCATTTGTGCCTCTGGGGATTACAATGTCCTACTGGTCTGGGTATTAAGTGCTCCAATGAGGTAGGTAGCCGCCACCACCACCCAAGGGTCATGCTGGAGGAACAAGATTGCAAATTCTTAATTGTTTCTTTCAAGATAACAACAGGATGCTATGGCTTTGTGTAGGTGTGCCTCCTTCCTGCCCCTGCAGAGGACCATAATACTCTGATTATGGCCAAAGCAGGCTGTAAAGAGAACCCACAACTGGTGTGTTTTGAGAAGTGAGTCTGGTAGAAGCATATGTGCCAAGTTCAGAGTAACTCACATCCAAATTCCACTCCCACAACTAAAATCTTCTGACTAGAGGATATGTACTAATACAACCATATATTTTGTCTATTCTGTTCCTAATTCGAGAATGCTTTGTCTTGCCCTTTATGAGCCTTGTTTGCATTAATTTCCATAAAAACTGCACAAAGCCTTTACTCCAGTTGATTACCAATAAAAGTCAGTGCCTGGGACCGGCCAGAGCCTTTGTTTATTGCACCAGTATTGGTCGTCCTGGCTCCCTGCTTTCTCTCCTAGTTCTGTCTCAGTGTATTTTCTTCTCAGGCATGTGTCGTATACTGGGCAGGGTACTAGAACCTAAGTGCAGGGGTCTCTGGCATGTCCCTGAGTCACTGGTACTATATTAGCCACTGTGTTCAAGAAGCTGCGACAGATGGCCAGTACTGTTGACTGTTACACCTCCGTCAGGGGCTCCACTGTCACCCTGGGCAATGTCACCGTGAATGAAGTCTCATACGACGTCAAATTGTGAGTATAGGTTGGAGGTAGAGTACACAAGGCGTGGGTCCAATCTTCAGCAGCAAAAAAACAAAACAAAAACAAAGCCAAATTGCAAAAACTAGACTTTTTCCTAACTGGAAAATGTGAATATACATATCAACATTTAAGTAAGTATACTGCATAGAGTCAGTTTATCCCAAGAATCCTAAAAATATTTTAATCACACTCAACAATTCAAACACATAAGCTTCCCAATGATGTATATTTTCTACAACTTTAATTCAGGTAAATTTTAGGTGCAAACATTTAATTCTTCAAATTAGTATTTCTATCACGGGTAGTCTAAAACTAGCATAGTTGGGCCGGGCACGTAGCTCAGTGGCACCATGCCTGCCTGGAAATCACAAGGTCCTGAGTTTGATTTCCAGTATTGGAAAAAACAAAAAACAGAAAACAAAACTAGCATAGCTAAATATATGAACTAAAACATGCCAATAAATGTAACAGTAGCATTAGTCTTACATTGGACACTACATACCATTAACCGTTATTGATTAATTGTGATCATGTAATTCGGTACTTAAGGCCTGTTTTATTAAGAGAAAAGCTAATAAAAATAGTTCTAGCAGAAAAAAGATAGGCAACACGCAGTCTGAATTACCTCAAGTTTGGGAAAGAAGCATGATAGGTTCTACTTTCATTAACTAGACCATAATCACAGTCAGGTTTTTTTTTTTTTTTTTTTTGAGACTATGTAGTCGAGACTAACCTGGAATTCACTATGTAGCCCAGGCTGGTCTTGAACTCAGAGATCCTCCTGCCTCAGCCTCCTGAGTTCTAGGATTACAGGTGTGCACCACTATGCCTGGCTCACAATCAGTTTTATTTGTTTCATTTTTCTCCTTTTTGCCCCCATCTACTTTTTTAGGCCCTCTACCACTGAAGTACCTCTCCTGGCCACCATAATCAGTTTTAGACCTTTTCTTTTTCCTCGGAGAAAGTATTTTTGCTTTTCGTTCTATGCCTATTTAATAGGATTATTTATAAATATGAAAAATTCAAAGTTAATCAGTACCAGGTCACATTTACAAGTCAGTCATGGAAAAAGAACTGAAGCTGTGAAATTGTGTTCATTTACCAATATCCTCACCCCCACACTTTGCCTTTTACCTTGATTCCATCTAAAAGAAGAATATATAATTCGCATACCTCTGGAGAAATTTTTGTAGATGTCATGATTGTGTTCTTTCAGCACTAAACATAATGTTTATATGAAATACATAATAACAGAACTTTATGATCATCTCACCTTATAAAAATAAAATGGCTGCAAGTCGATAATTTCAATAATCCAAGGAAAAGTACGTGGTGAACTATAGGCAAACAGAACAATTTCTAAACAACAAGCCATCAAAGAACGATGAAATATATCTTGCTCTAAAAGAACCTTGGGAAAGAAAAAGACTATAGTTTAATATTTCTCAGCATTCTATAAAAAAAGAACAAGATTTTAAAAAAACCTATACAAATATTATCAGAGACAGATTACCAGAGTTCTCAGGCTGGGGGGATAGCTCAGTAGCAGAGTAGCAGAGTATTTGTCTAATACACACAAAGCTCTAGGTTGATCTGCAGCACCATTTTGGGGGGAATAGATTTCAAACTGGTAAAGTTTTCTTATATCTAAGCTTGTTCAGTGGTAGATCTTACATTTAAATGAAGTGTATATAACAGTCTGCTATGAAATCTAAAGATAATAAAATAGTCATTATTTCCATTAAGTGAAAAGCATGAGGATTGGTTCTTTTTCTTCTGAGTGACAGTTAACTGTTTTCTCAGCATAAATGTTTACTAGTCAAAATGTTGAAACGGAAGGTAACATAACAGCTAAGACAAAACTCAGAGAAAAATATTTTATCGAGAAGATAAAGTCCTCTTTCACCACTGAATTTAAGACCTGATGTTTTCAGTCTTAAAGATGGTGCTTGTCACCTATCATCCCAAATCGATAGAGAAAAAAACAAAACAAAAAAACCCACAAAACAATAAAGAGAGCAAGGAAAGAACCTCTGGTGGGTGTGGTGACTCATGTGTGTAATACCAGCACTTGGGAGACTGAGGCACGAGGATTTACAGTTTGAGCCCAGCATGAGCTACATAGAAGTTCAAGACCATCTTGGATAAAAGTAAGAGCAACTGTAAATACAAATTACTGAAAGCAGGAGAAAAGATGATAAATTACCCAGCAAACAGGAGGATACTCATATAAAGGGACTGCAGAGAAACACTTAAATGTACTCCATGAACTCTGGAGAAGATACAGCATCTGGGGGCACAGCAGAATGGAATACTGAGGTAAGGCAGAGGCTGAGAGATGCATATGAAAATCTATCTAATACCCTCTAAAGGGTCAAATGACAGACCTACAGTCTACCACCACAGGAATCTGAACTACTTTCTAGAGAAATTGAATCAAAGACAGAGCTAGAGATTAACAAGCACAGAAGAAAAGGGTTTTGGTGAAAGTCTGCAGACTAAACAATGAGATCAAGTTTCCCTTTCTCGTTCTGCTCTACAACATCAAGAGCCAGACAAGAGCGTAGAAGATCTGTCTTGGAGAAACCAAAATATTTCAGAAAAGCCTATAAAATATCAATAGGTTAGAGTCCTTAATTCTACCTGATCATCTGAAGCCACTGGATTTTTATTCCTACTCTTGCACACTCCTGAATCAATGTTTTAGTGTCTTATTCAAAGATAAGTGGGCAGCCAAGAATAATCCAATAATTGAGGAAAACTTCTAACTGAAATTCACAGGTCAAAGAGGAGACACAGTAGGTAACAGGAAAAAAAAAATCAAAGAAATTGATGCTGACCTCTGCTGCTCTTCATAATACTCTATTAGTCTCTTAAAACACTGCTTCCAGGCTAGGATTTCTAAATGGATTTTGCCAGTAAGCTGGCAGCATGGACTGGATTTACTTACTGACATATCCATTCCATGAAGTCTTCGCGCTTCCTGAGCCATTATAGTCTCTAGGATTTTATAATACAAAATTTCTGCCAATTTTAATCTGTTTACAGCAAAGTCTAAAAGAAAGAGAAAAAGCACATGCAATTAAAATCTAGTACGGATTGAAGAAAAAAACTTACATAAACTTATATGTGGTACATTAAAAGCTGGGATCTAGCTCAGCAGTACAATAGTGCTTGCCTAGTATGCATGATGTCCTGGGTGTGATCTTCAGCAAAGAAAAAAGAAAAGAAAAAAATGGGCAGAGAAACTTGAATTTCTAATTTTGGGAATAATCTATTTACTTTCAATCCTGTGCCAACTTTAGTTTTGTCTTCTTACCTATGTGAGATCCCGGCTGTTCATCTGTTGATTGAGTATAGTGTTGGCAGAAAGTCTCTCCAATTCCTTTCACTATTTTCATAATGTTTTCCATAGGATTCCGCATACAAGATCTACAAAATACAAGAGGAACCTAGTTATTAGTAAAAAACCTAGACTATCAACATTTTTCCTTTTGAGAACTATTTTGGTGTTTTTTGTTTTATTTTGTTTTTGTTACGGGGGATTGAACGCGGGGCCTTGTATTTGCAAGGCAGGCAGCAGAACCACTGAGCTAAATCCCTGGCCCAGCAGTTTGGTTTTTTGGTCAAAGTTCTACTCTCTGTTGAAAACCTACAAATGTAAGCAGAACTTTACATATGTAAAGTAATATACACACACACACACACACATACATATATACATGAATTTCACATAAAAATAAAGATGAAGTTCACATAAAATAATTATATATATTTATATATTTAAGAATTTGTTTTTATAAATTTGCTACTTTATCTCATATAAATGGAATACACCTCATATAAATGCAGTCATGTAATATGTCTTCATCATTTACTTATTTCACTTAATATAATGTATTAAAAGTTCATTCATGTTGTAGCATACCATAAGATTTCCTTCTTTTAAAGACTAATATTCCATTGTAAGTATACACTGGTGGTGGCGAACCTACGACATGTGTGCCACAGAAAACATGCACAAGCCTCTCTGTTGGCAGATGAGCCAAGTTACCCAAGACTGTGAAAGTGGGCAGCAGAAATATTTTTCAAATCTAAAAATACATATAGAAAATTCTACATTTGCAGACAATCCTACAAGCCATTCGGAAATCTACAAGGAGTTTTCTCACATTGTAACAGCTATAAGAAAAACTTTTGCTTTGTATTTTTAAAAATAAATTTTATTTTATCCTATGACCCCCTTGTGCCCCCTCCCTTCCCTATGTACAAAAGCTTTGTTTCCATTTTTTCCTTCCATTTTCACTTTTTTCTTGTCCCTTCCTTCACAAAGGATAATTTTAGTAACAGATTTTTGCAGTTCTGTAAGATGAAAAAAAAAACCACCATGTTTTCTTCCTTCTCCAAATAAAGGCAAATTTGAAGAACTTTATCTTTCCTGCTTACATTGGTAAGATTTTGGAAATCTGAAAATGGAGCTTTTAGAACTTCAAGAAAGCTCTATCTGGAAAAATAAATTCTATGAGCTGCATGCAACATTTGGGAAGACAGTGGAGATTCAGTATGAAAGGATGACAAAGAACAGCACAGTTGGTAGTTCTGAAAATGAAATCCTTAAAGTGTGGATTTCTCTGTCAAATAATTTTAAGTCAGTGAAAGCACTTGGGTTTGCTTTTCTTACTTTGTTTGGATCATCTTATGCTTATTAGGAGCTGTTTTTGGCTTTGAATTATATCTAATCTGAGAGACTAATAATAGATGACCTAGGTGCTGCATGTGTTGCTCTCAAACTATAAAGTCTGAGCTAAGGTTTGACAAATTATCAGCATGTATACAACAGCAAAGATCATGTTAATTGTGCAAAAGCACAACAAATGCAAACTTTTACCTTCCAACTAAAAGCTGTATTATTGAAAGCTCTGTTGTTTTTCTTTTTTCTTTTCTTGAGACAGGGTCTCACTATGTACTTGAGACTGACCTGGACCTCACTATGTAGCCCAGGCTGGACTCGAAATCACAGCGAACCTCCTGCCTCAGCCTCCCAAGTGCTGGGATTACAGGCTTGTGTCACCATGACCGGCTCATGTGTTTTTCTTTTAAGACAATAGATGTTCTTGTTTGAATTGCTTCTTTTCTAAATTAAAACCTCAGGATTTGGGTTTAATTGCAGTGTTGGCACTTTGTGATAAGTGAGTCTAGGGTTGGTTTAGACATTCAACCTTTAAAAGGTTCACCATCCCTGGTATACATATACTGATTTTTTTTTGTTTTGTTTTAATTTATCCATCAACATTTTGGTTGCTGCACATTTTGGCTATTAATAATGCTGCAGTGAATATGGTGTGCAAATATCTTTGAAATCCTAGTTTTAATTCTTTTGGACATGTTTCCAGAAGTAGTACTGCAAGGTTATATGGTAGTCCAACTTTTTTTTCCTTTTTGAGGAATCTTAGTACTGTTTTCCATAATGGTTATATCATTTTACAATCCTACCAATAATGCACAAAGGTTCTTATTTCCCTACATTCTCACCGTCACTTGTTACTTTGTTTTCGTTTTTGGTGGTAGTGGGAAGATAGTGTAATGGACGTGAGGAGATTTCTCATTGTGGGTTTGATTGCATTTTCCTGTTTTTGATTTTCTCTTTTTTTGATGCCAGGGATTAAACTCAGAACTTTGCGATTGTGAGGCAGGCGGCGGCACCACTGAGCTAAATCCCAGGCCCCAGATTGAATTTTCCTGGAGATGTTCAGTATTTTTTCATATGCTTATTGGCCATTTGTTTATCTCCTCTAGAGAAATGTCTATTTGAATCCTGTAAATATTTTAAGTCAGATTATTTTTTTTTTGTTATTGAGCTGTACGAATTCTTTATGCATTCCAATTATAACTCCTTATCTGACATAGTATGACTCCATTCAATAGTTTTTTGAGAGAGGAGACAGGGTTTTGCTATATAGTTCAAACTGGTCTTAAACTCAACTATGAAACTCAGGATTGGCCTTGAACTCACAGTGATCCTCCTCCATCAGACTCCGCAGTGCTGGAATCACAAGCATGTGCCACCATACCTAGCTAGCTTTTAAGTTTTAAGTAGTCTCATTTGCCTATTTTTAATTTTGTTTCTTGTACTTGGTATCACAGTGAAGAAATCGCCGCACATTTGAATGCTATAAAGCTTTCCCCTTATGTTTTCTTCTATAAATTTTATGTCTTACATTTAGGTTTTTAATGCATTTTTGTTAATTTTCAAATACTGTTTAAAGTCTTTATTCTTTTGCATGTGGACATTCAGTTTTCCCAGCACCATTTATTGAAAAGACTATTCTTTCCCCATCACACAGTGTTGGTATCCTTCTCAAAGATCACTTGACTGTATTTGTGAAGATTATTTCTGCACTCCCTCCACTGGTTTAAAGATTTGTCTGTCCATATATTGTCCTGTTTTGACCACTGTTAATTTTGTAACATGCTTTAAAATGAGTGTGAGGCCTCCAGCTTTGTTTTCTTTTTGGCTATTCCGGGTCTTATCAGATTCCATATGAATGTTAGAATGTTTTTTTTTTCCTGTACCTGCAAAAATTGTCAGTGGAATTTTGATAAAGATTACTTGAATCTATAGATTACTTTATGTAGAATAAATATCTTAACACTAAGACTTTATTTATTTATTTATTTTTGGTTTTTTGAGATAGTGTCTCACTATGTAGTCGAGACTGAACTGGAACTCACTATGTAGCCCAGGCTGGTCTCCAACTCATAGATTCTCCTGCCTCAGCCTCCCGAGTGCTGGGATTACAGGCATGTGCCACCACGCCCAGCTTAATGCTAAGACTTTAAATCCATGAATTGATATGTCTAATATATTTTCATCTGGGTTCTTTGTCTTTTGTATTCTACACTTGCTTCCTTCCTTCCCTTTCTTACTGCTATAAAATGTTTGTATAATTGCCTCGCTACTTTTTTCAACTTACCCATGCTTCAGTGAGTAGTGCAATACAAACCAGTCTACTCAAATAGAAGAAGTCTACTCAAAGGGAAGAGCTCCATGATAATATTCCAAACTTACCCGCAACCTGCCTCTTCTGAGCTAGTTTTGAGACTGGGGGTTGTTCTACGTTCCTATAACTGAAGGTTTGGGGACTGGGGAAAAGCTCAGCTGATGCTATGGGGAGCTTTTGTTGGAGGATAAAGGCTTTGCTTTCTCTTCTGAGATTTAGTTAAATGTCTCCATTCCAGAATTTCCTATACCTAGTAGTCTCAGGGAAGTCTTCTAGTTTCATTTGTTTTTGTTTTTTGTTCATTTTTGTTTTTTGAGACAAGGTCTTGTTATTTCACAGGATTATAGACTTCCAAATATATCTTAAAAGATAATTTAGCTCTGACATTTCACTCTTATTACCCCTGTGTTTAGAGTGGCCTTGAACTTGTGGCAATTCCCCTGCCTCAGCCTTCTAAGTGCTGGGATTACAGGTGTGTGCCACCACACCTGGCTTTTTCTAGTTTCATGAATCTCCTGTTACAGAACAGAATCCTGGAATAAGGTAGCCTCTAGCAGATTTTCATAGTTCTGTTGTGATCCTGGCGGTAATATACAGGAACTTTCACTTGGGGAGGTTTCTGTGAATTTTTACACATCTGCTTATTTAAGGCCCATTTGTTTCTCTCCAAATCTAGAGTAATAATGAATATTCTCAAGAGTCTATCAATATAAACTCTTTCTCAGTACTGTTGCTTGAGGATGGGCACACACAATATTTTTGCCAGTGTTACTATTCTCTAATTTCTTTAGGTATTAGGAAACAAATTTCTCTGACCTATAACTTTGTAATATGTTTTGAAATGAGAAAATGTGAGGTCTCCAGCTTTGGTGGATTCATTCCACATCTTTAACAGATAACATGCCTCTTTAAAAAAAAATTACATAACATTCCATTTTGTAGCTGTACCACCAATACTAATCAGTCTCCCACTTTGATGACATTTAAATTGAGCCCATTCAAAGTCAATCTGAAACACAGTGGCGCACGCCTGTAATCCCGGCACTTGGGAGGCTGAGGTAGGAGGATCTCTACGAGTTCCAGACCAGTCTGGGCTACATAGTGAATTCCAGGTCAGTCTCAACTACACAGTGAGACCCTGTCTCAAAACAAACAAACAAACAAACAAAGTCAATCTAAAAATAAAAAATACGTGACACAGGGGTAATAAGTGTGAAAGGTCAGAGCTAAAGTATCTTTTTTTTTTTTGGTTTTTGAGACAGGTTCTCACTGTGTAGTTGAGACTGACCTGAACTCACTATGTAGCCCAGGCTGCTCTCAATTTACAGTAATCCTCCTCCCTCAGCTTCCCAAGTGCTGGGATTATAGGGATCGCAGGCACTACAGGAGTGGTGCCACCCCCTCCCCACATAAATTATCTTTTAAAATATATTTGAAAGTCTATAATTCTGGGAAATAACAATTTTATCTATTTATCTATGCCTCCTCCACTCAACTATACCTTGATCCATTTTATATAATGAGTTGCATTTTAGCAGATTCTCACATAATTTCATCACTTTCTCATACATTTTTTTTGAGACAAGGTCTTGCTAAGTTGACCAGGCTAGCCTTGAACTTGTAATGCTATTGCCTCAATCTTCCAAGTAGCTGGGACTATAGGCATACACCTCTACACTTGACCCTCTATATAATTTTTTTTTGAGACAAGGTCTCATTATGTAGTTCAGGCTGGCCTTGAATTCACTATGGAGCCCAGGTTGGCCTCAAACTCATGGCAATCCTCCTGCCTCATACTCCAGAGTGCTGGATTATAAGCATGTGTTACCATGCCCGGCTGATCTACACAATTTTTAATAGATACATCTTTCTGATTTCAGGTCAACTTATTTTATGATAGAAATGATATAGCAAGACTTGCCAGATGTACAGCTACTACCTAGAGAATTACGATTATAATGAAACAATGTAATAAAGAATCTAATTTAAAAATACAAATAACAGTATAGCACTTACTCAAAAATATTTGTAAGTTGTTTACTTGGTGCATTTTTCAGTCCAGCAACAATACTCTGTAAGCGGCTCACACTTTGGGTAGCTGAAGCAACAGGAGTAATGACTGTTTCTTTTTCTCGTAAATATCCTCTTCCTGTCAGTGGGGTAGAAGGTGCAAATGATCTTTTCTGTAAAAAAAGAAAAATCTATAATAAAAAATTACATATTATATATTTATATTTAGTTATATATTTAGTTCAGTACATGTAATATACTCTCTATTTATATTTACTGCTGAGTTACTTTTCCTCCTTTTCTGGAGACCCACTACACTTTAAGCAACAGTGTAATATCCATACATTTGAACAATACCTTTTCAAAACACTTTCTATGATCTTATTTCATCTTCATAAAACTCATTTGAGCATACCTGTTATCTGAGCCCTTTGGGAGGCTGAGGAAGGAGGATTGCAAGTTTAAGCCCAGCCTGGACAACTTAGACCCTTCTTAAAATGAAAAATAAAAAAGGCTGGGATGCTGCTAGGTTCCAAGGCCTTGGGTTCAATCTCCACTGTCACCCCCAATATGCCCCATTTGAAATGTAACACATACCTATTTTTATATTACATATGAGGAACTTGAAACAGAAAAGTTTAAAAAATTTGTTTAAACTAACTAAGTTAACAACAGAGTTGCCTTGCAAGCGCAAGGACCCGAGTTCAATCCCCGGTACCAAGAAAAAAAAAAAACAACAACAACAACAAAGTTAACAACAGAGAATGTACTAAAACTTAGGTTTTCCATCTTCTAGATCAATGAATTTTCAATTAGACTTAATTCTATAAACCATTTCACACACAAATACAGAATTAAATCCTGACCATTACCAATCAAGTCTGGAGGTACACGGCAACAGTCAGAGAAGAGTTTGTGCGATGGGTAATAATGCAAGCTAAACTTTAAAGCAACGTAATACATGTTTAGTGGAAGCAAAGAAAGAATGGTAAGAAAGCATAAATTCTTATGTGAAAAAACACATACTGTTACATATGATAAACCCAAGTGTTCTGGGGAAACAGATCCAAAATATAATTAACAGCAAGAAACATAATAAAATGCTAAATGTCATAGTTCTAAAAATTACCTTTTAAGGCTTTCATGGGAAATATGAATTAGTAGAAGAAACTCAAAATTTAACTTGAAAGATGCTTCTGCTGTTAGTAGAATCACAGAGTAAGAAAAAGATCATTCAAAATTGAGGCCAGGCTAGGTAATATTACTTTTTCAAAGTGTTGTTGAAGGTTACACTCCACATTAGCTTGCGCTGTCAGTTTTCCTAATGGGGTGTCACCAGTGAATTTTCGGGGTGTTCCAATTTCCTCTTCTGCATCTGCTCCCAAAAAGATCCTCTCATCAAAGTCACCAACAGTTAGAACATATTCTTCATACTCCTTATTCACTGCTTTGCTGCAAAGAGAATTATTTCAAGCTGTTAGAACAAAACTAAGTTATTCAATGAATTAATCTTGGCTTCAAGATAATTTCAAACCCATGGCTTGGGAGAACTAACAGTTTTCTAGTTTTTATTAAGTTTCAGAGATTCCTATATGATTACGGACATTCTTTATAGTCACACACTCAAGAATAAATTATTTCAAAAAATAGGAGAAAAGAGAATGTATATTTAATCTAAAAACTAGCTTTAGTTAATTCAGTAAAATAAAATGGTATCTGATCACTGAGGAAACAATTGTGGTTTTAAAATATGGGCATTCTGAATTTGTTAACATTTCATTAATAGAATATGAAATCAAATGTAGAACACATTTCTGGGAATTGTGAATAGCAGAGAAAGAGCCTCTCCATTTGGTATCCAAACACTGGAATATAGCAACATGAAGAACATAAGGAGGAGGTAAGTGGGATCCTAAGACCAAGCAAGGATCTGAACGAAGAATTGAGGCCCACTGGGAGATTGAAAAAAAGAGACCTTGGGCCGGGGATTTAGCTCAGTGGTTCCACTGCCTGCCTCAAAAGCGCAACGTCCCGAGTTCGATCCCTGGTATCCCCCCAAAAAAAGAAGAAAATAAAAAACCTCAATGCAGAAGATGGAAATGGTAAGCAGCATATTCTCCCTGAGCCCTGACTCATCGCAAAGGAGGGGCAGCTTGAACCTGCAGACACATGGTGACTAATGGTTACCCCACAGGTCTCCACAGAGCAACACTCCAGTACAACAGAGCAGTAGACACAGCAGACTGCACTGGATGGTGAGTTATTCAGATTCAGGCATTCCCCAGGAGAGGGTGATTGGCTGGTAGCCATCTTGGAAAGAGGCCAATGAAGCTCAGAACAACTTTGAGCTGACTCTACTATCAGCTGTCAGTGTGAGGTAGAATTGTGTTCAAGTCAGCAGAAGGTCAAGGAGCTGAGTGCAAGCTGACAAAGAGGCACATGGACTGTTGTAGGCTGAAAAAAATGGGCTCCAGCCCCACAGCTAGAAATCAGCCTAAACTGTAGTGGAACTAACAGTGAAAGCTTGTTGGAATTATCCAATACCCCACTGAAAATCTACAGATGGCTTGCTGGGACTAAATCAACATGGATCTGGGTTCTGTTTGCTCACTCTACCAGTGATAGCAGAGACATGCCCTGAAGTGGAGATTTAAAAAATTTTTTTTTAACTTTTGCTTTATTATCTTTTTTTGTTCTTTTTGTTTGTTTGTTTTTTGTTTTTTGAGACAGGGTCTCGCTATGTAGTTTAGACTGACCTGGAACTCACTGTGTGTCCCAGGCTGGTCTCGAACTCACAGCAGTCCTCCTGCCTCAGCCTCCTAAATGCTGAGATTACAGGTGTGTGCCACCATGCCTGGCTGGTCTTGTTTTTATGTGTCAACACTGTTTCTAGTATTCTTGTTTTGTTGTTCTGTTCTTCTTTTTATTTTTTCCTTCTCTCTCTCTGTCTTCTTTACAAGTTTTTGAAACTTTGTGTATCTTCCTCTGCCTTCTAGCATTGCTTTAACTCTCTTCCTTTTTTTCTATTTCTCTATTTTTCCACCAATCCCTTTTAAATTTTCTTCCTTGAGGATAAATTTGTCATCTTGAGAGAAAATTTATTGTATGCAATTCTCTGGTTTGCTTTAGATATTCTTATATAACTATAAATCTTGTGAAAGATGGCAAATTAAGAGTTACCACAGTTTGTCATTTTCTAGGCTATGTTTGATGCTATTGCTATTGTTGAATGTACTACTTTAGCCAAAGTGACATAATTGTTCTAATCAGTTGTTCTTCCTTGTATGCCAGGATAGAGATTGCCTAATTCATAAACAGATTATTATTAAGGAAGCATTATGCCTTTCAGGATGGCCTTGAACTTACTACGTAGCCCAGGCTGGCCTCAAACTTGTGATGATCCTTCTACCTCAGCTTCAGGGATGCGGGCATTATAGGCATGTGCCTGGCTTTTAACAAATATTTATTAGCAGCCTATAATAGGTCAGATACAATTAGTGCTAGATACATACCTATTATCAGTAAAACTGGAGAGGTCAAGGAGGCATTCTCCTTTTAAAATCTAGGAAGAAAAATCATTGTAGCATATTATATAATTAAAGATATTAATACACACAGAAACAGAATTTCCCTTAAATTTCACATTGATATAAAACCACAAAAAACATTTAAGACCAGAAAAACCTAATTAGCATACAAATATTTTAAAACAATTTTAAGTTGATGTATATGAATATAATCGCAGCTACTGAGGGGGCTGGGGCAGAAGGATCCCAAATTTGAGGGTAGCCTGGATGACTTAAGTGAGAGCTGTCTGAAATTGAAAAATAAAAAGGGGTGGGAAGGGCTGGGGATGTAATTCAATGCCTAGTACTACAAAATAAATGCAAACAGCATTTAAAAATCAAGTTTTATTGATCTCAGGCACCATAATTGGGCAGGGATTTGGCTCAGTGGTTCCGCTGCCTGCCTTGCAAGCATAAGGGCCCAAGTTCAATCCCTGGTACCACACACATAAAAAATAAATAAATAAAATAAATAAGACCGGGGATTTAGCTCAGTGGTTCTGCTGACTGTCTTGCAAGTGCAAGCAAGGTCTCAAGTTCAATCCCTGGTATCAAAAAAAGCAAAACAAAAAACCCCCCAAAACCAATCAAGCACCATAATCAGTCAAATCAAGTTTTGAAAATAGTCTGAGCTTAGTCTATGCCAGCACTTTCTAAATTTTAGTTATAAGAATCATTAAAACTAAACAGGACAAAACAAACAAACAAACAAAAAACCAGGTTGCTGGGCGTAGTGGTGCATGCCTGTAATCCCAGCACCTGGGAGGCTGAGGCGAGATGATTGCTATAAATCCAGGGCTACCTTGAGCTTTGTAGGTAATGTGCGAGTGGCTATAAAACTATAGAGGATTTTCTGTTCTTTTTAAATGGAATTAATGTGGAAGTTGTTATACTATTTTTTATAATCAGCAGTTACATACTCAAATTGTGTGAGTAAATTAGCTTACTTTGGCTTCTTGTTTTTCATAATTATTTATAAGGCTGACTCTGATGCTTTGTTCTTCAGAATTCTTTATTATAAACTTCTAAAATTGCACGACAATGTGTTTGAGAGTGAATATTACTGGTCACAATCTTAACCAGCTCAGTTTCTTATATCACACAAAATCAAAAGATATAACTATTTTTCAGCAGAGCCTGAAACCCAAGAATCTTGACCCTGAGTCCTAAAATGTTGAGTGCATCTTTTCCTTTGAGACTGCTACCCATCCCTAAGCATGTCAGTCATTTAATTATAAGTACAGTACCTTCCGATCAAAAAGTTTTGCAATATATGGTTTAAAGTAGTGCTCCTTTATTCCTTTTGCTTCTACTAGAAGTCCATCATGCAGTTCACACAGTATAGCAATGATGCAGGGAGGCTCTTCAGAAGCCCTAAAGTCAGCAGTATGGAAATCAGATGGTAAACCTAGTTTGGCAGAGTATGAAGGGGAATAGGAATAGGGAAAATGGTTAATTTTTAAAACTTTTTCCAAAAACTGATAATTAATTTTCAAAATAAATAAAGGTCTGACCTTTAAATGATGGATTCAGCAAGTCTTGTCTGTTTGGGCACATAATGGCATTGGCAAAAACCAAATCCAAGCAGCACAGAAGTAAATGATAAGAGTTTACTAAATCATCCCCAATCATACGAAAATTACCTTTATAAAAAATGGCAAACACCAGAAACCTCTCAGTCAAGTAGCACCATGTAACCACAGCAGAAATGTACAACAATTGAAAGTGTTACCTTACCCTTAGTGTAAACAAACAGTGTCCAACAAAAATTAAAGAGATCCTTAACACTGCAAGGAATCCTCCTACAAAGAGAGAAAAAAAAAAGGTGTGTGTGTGTGTGTGTGTGTGTGTGTGTGTGTGTGTGTGTGTGTGTGTGTGTGTGTTCTAGCTTAGTAACAACCATTTAAATAAAAACAACATGGGCCTGGGATTTAGCTCAGTGGTTCTACTGCCTGCCTCAACAGCAAGGTCCCAAGTTTGAGCAACAGTACCAAAAAAAAAAAAAAAAAAAAAAAAAAC